AAAAGTCTGAATAAAAGCAGATTCTGCTTGGTGCTGTAGCTATTATTTGAGTTTAATGATTATTCCATTAATCACATCATCCTCATTACGAGACTATGATGATCAGCAATAACTATATGTTGCTGATTATTGCTTACGCGAACATTGAAATGAGATGAGAAGATTGAGTAATAATTGAAAGTTTCATGCACGGCTTATTCAGTTCTTCTTAATCAGAATAGTCTGTAAATGGAATTTGACTCAATTTGAGACATGGAAATGGAAGTGACTTCTTTTTTGAACTTGAATAAAATGAAATTCTAAGTTATTGTGCTGCTTCATAACTTCCTGTGGATTTCTCTTGACTCTTTTTGACTATCCAAAATTGATCATCAATTCAGCTTCTAGTCACTGCTGTCAATGACGTGCTCGTTGTCTATTGATTGATTATGTTTTCCAAAATTACATTAAGTACGCATACTTATGTTGCTGCTTACTTTCGTGTCTGAACTGTGCTTTTCATTCTCTTCTGTTTACGATTTTTAATAACGGCATTAGCCATAGATTCATGCTGATCAGACGCTTCATTCAGTGATTATTTGATGAGCATGGGCGATGAAAAGAAGGAATTTGACAAAGACTTTATGAACTTTTTCTTCTTGAAATTTCTGAGTTCATTCCAGGTGAGATTCTGAGAATTTCTAGTCTAAAAACTTATAACATTGCTCGCATACTGAAGATTGTCAAACATCATAAGACTTAGCAATGAAAAGGAATTCTTGATTGTTAAGTGACTAAGTTCAACCTTGACATTCTGAATCTCTTTAACTTAATTATCAACCAACAAAAAGTAATGAATGAGCAGCATAAAAATAATTGAAAGCAATAAACAGAAGATTCAAATCATTAAACAAGCAATGAACTTGATTGTGATGTAATGAACAGAACTGAGCATGCAACATAAACAAAATTATTGAAAATGTGTGAAAATTTTTCATGCTTTATGCTGTACATAAATTTTTATGCTCTTCTTATGAGCCGCAAGCATTTTTCTTGATTCCTTACGCATAATTTGACTTCATGTTCGGCAATTAAAAAACTTTTTTTCTCATAATTTTAAATTCCATGAAAATTTTCTGACGTTTTTCACCCACAAAAAAAAATTAATTAAAATGCGTGCCTAGCTGCTCATGTTCATGTTAATGTCTTTTAACATATTTTTCATGAATGTTAAATGTTTAGAATTAATCAATCGATTGTTCTCATAAACCAAGTAAATGTGATGTGCATTCATGTGTGTCCACTGAACAATTTTTATTGCCCATATTTTTTCCATTCCTTCTCTGACCCTTTCGAGTTCTAGCTTGACTGTGTAGAACTGAACATGGAACAATATGGCTCAATTTTAGTTAATTTTTATGTTCAAATAAGAACAATTACTCAGGTGCACATGTTTGGTGAAACATTTATCGTCTCATTGTGCATCAATCGGTGATGATTATGTGAAAAATAAAAGTCTTGTAAGTCTCGCCTCGTCTTGCTTCATTTCATTTTCACCTTTTCATCATTTATTTGTTATTATGAGACTTTTTGTTATTTATTTAATACTCTTAAACCATCTGCTTTTACTTCTATGCTGCTCATTGCCTTCTAATTTCCTCAAACTCTTCTCAATTCAATCAGACATGTTAAATAGTCAGCATAATCATCATCTCAAGTGCTTCATTGTCAAGTGGATCTTCACAAATTTTTTAATGTGCTGTCTTATTGGAACTATCCACTTGAAATTGACTTTCTGTCACCAGACAACAATTTGTTCTTATTTTGAATGCAGCATGTGATGAGTTTATGGGAAAATTTTTATGATATTTTCATCAGTTTTGATATAATTTCCATTAGTTGTCTGTGATTTGTGGCTTGCTAAGGCTTAACTCTTGTCTTTTTGGGCTCTACAAACCTGAAGATAATCATAAATTTGAACATAACGAGTCACAAAGCTAGTAAGAATAGAAAAATAGAGGTGCATCAGCATGAAATGGAACCCTTTACTTTTAGATGCAATCATTTCCATTTCTTTTATTTGATTCCATTTTCTTGAATTTTTTATATCAAGGCACATCTTATCAACATCTGACGATCTTTAGAGACTTCTTATTGCCTTATTTTATTCTCATTTCTTGTTATTCTTTAATTTTTTGTTTGAGGTTAAAAAAGGCATAAAAAAGATCCCAGACAAGTGAAGCATGAAGCACCTTTAAGAAATTCATTTTTATGTGATTAAAGAACTTCATTTACCACACTTTTGTGCTGTTTTAAATGCATTTTTCATGACTGTGTGTGAAAAAGATTTTCGCAATAATGAATAACAAAGTTTTCAGCCTCTCAAAAAAACCAGAAAATTTTCACTTTCAAGTCAATTTTTTTTTTCAATGTCACAAAATGGAAATTTCTGCTTCTTTTGTGCAACATTTTCTCAACTTGCGCAAGAAGCCGTGACTGCAGTCGAGCATAAGAATAAAAAAAATTACGCAATGATAATCATGCTGATGGGCATTGTTGTTGAAGGTTCTTGAACTCTTTGTTTCTCTATTTATGCTGCTTCTGGATGATAATTTTGATGCTCTTACAAATGTGATAAGATGTGATAATAATCGTAATGAAATTAATGACATTAAATATGAAAATGAAATTCAATAAATGAGGTAGTAGAATGTGAATAGGTGTGTAATAAGATTCAGATTGAATTTTGTGATTAAAGCGCATTTTTTAGAGTAACAAATTGTGCCTTTGTTCTGGATGAATTTTTATCTAGTTGATATTTTAGTAAAATTAATTTATTGAGTATTTGAGCAGTCAACAATCTATCATTCAGCTTGAAGTGGTTTGGAAATGAGATTATGATCATACACGCCATAATTATGCATCAAAAAGTCGCTCAATGGAAGGCTGACTATCCAGTCTATTTTTGAGACATGAATCTTGCAGCCTTTGAGATCCTTTACGACCAAGACTGTACAAAATATTCTATAAAGATCAGCATCAAACGCATTCATATATTAATAAATTTTTGAATAAGCTAGTTGCTTAAACATAAATAGATAGTCACCCAACTCAGCAGTCAACTCCTTTACATTATCAAACATTTTTTTCATTTTTCATCAAAAAAAAAAACTATTTCAAAAGCATTGAATGTCATTTGTGTTATTTTAGGCTGGTTACATCCACGCCCAATATTTCCATTCATTTTTGAAATAATTTCGAATAAATCAATTCACACTAAATCAAAATTATTTCAAGCGGCATCGAGATGAACAACAAGAAAACCATTGAATGGAATTTTTTTCTTCTAAATCTTCCAACGCACACATCTTTTATTATGTGTTATTGCTTATTCTTTTCTTTTATTTGTTCTATGCGGCATCAAGAAACGAAATGTAAAAAGACCAGTAGTTGAACAGATTTTATTAGAAAATTCTTCAGATTAAACAAAAAACACCGAAAAAAGCGTCAAGAAAAATTTTTGTTGATGAGGATGAATAAGAAGATTTTTATGATTTTTAAATTGACTTTTTTCATTAATTTCATTTTAATCTCCTACATTTTTCTGTATTCAGAAGCGTCATAGATGCTAATTCGAAACTGAGAAGAATCCTGAATTATTCTGACAGGCTTGTTGAGAGAAATCTAATCAGATTAAATAAGAATCGAATTGCATGACACGAACGTTGTTTCTTACAAGATACAAAAACTAGAGCACCTGTTGGCATCTCCATAATATTGCCATGTGCTTAACGCAAAAAAAGAGTTTCAAAATTACTTTGCAGCAGTTACCAAAATGTGGTCTCGATTTGTGGCAATTTTAGAGCCTAAAAGCAATAGATGAAAATAAATTTAAAAGTCTGAAGGTTGAAGAAGAAGACATAAGATATTTTTCAAACCCTAAAGCACAACAGCAAACAACAATAAGAAGGAAGAACAAGATAAAAGAAATTTGAGAAGAAATTCAACGAACAAAATTAAAACTAAAAGAAATAAGAAGGCAAAGCAGGTGAATTGAGTCAGCACGCAACGGCTTATGCGACCGATCTCATCAAATTAAATAAGCTTCATTCGCTTCCATGTCTCGTTCGATTTATGTTGCAACTCATAATTTGTTGTGCTGCATTAATGCGAATTTTGACCATGAAAATAATTTTTTGCAGCATAAAACATGAAAATTTATTTGAATAGAAAAGTTCATGAATTGCCAACGCCAGAACTAAAGTGGAAGAAGAAATAAAATGAGGAATCGGAACCATCTTCCCATGACGAGTAATTAAGAAGGCAGTAACTGAGGCAGTAAGAAGTAATAGATGAAGAAGAATCAAAACCATAATAATAATAATATTAAATTTTTTTAATCAAGCAACTCTCATGTGAGAACTTTCAGCCTTTCCTCCGTCTCTTTTATGCTGTGCAGATTGTTTTAATTACTCACTATCCATTCACACACAAAACATCCACAAAACAAGTGATTATTACAAGTCAAACAAATAAAATTATTAAGAGAACTTGGAAATGACTTGAATTTGTAAATTCGCGAAAATTTTATGCAAAAAACAGAACTGAAGCGTTAAGAAATGGATGTTGAATACGCTAATGATGTTTTAGGGACTTTAAATCTTGGACATTGTTTTCAGTGAAAGTTTCTCAATAAATTAATCATGTCATCAATAAAATTCATCTTAATCGATTCCATGCAGCGCATATCAAATTAATATTCATGTTCGCATTTTTATGCAGCATAAATTAACATTTCTTGATTGATTGGATTTGAAAAGTTTTAAAATTATTCAAGTCACATCCAAAAAGTTACAAAGAAATGTCGACATTTGATTTAATTGGCATTGAACATTTCCATTGTTCCTCAATATTGTCGAACATGTGTTTTGGAACAGGAACAACAAGATGTTCACATTATGCAACATAAATATTCATGCTTGCTGCATATATTTTACAATAAATAAATTAAAGACACTCACCTGAACTGCACAATTTAAGAAACAATTGTTTTGTCCTGGACCATTGAGAAGTCCTTTTGTGTCCATTAAATGATATTGTTGATTTACTGACGGTGGTCCGTAGAAATTTGCTGCACAGTTCCTTAAATTTTGCATCATTGTATGCTGTTGTGTCTGTTGATGAGTGTGAAAAGTTCCGACTGTCATTTTTATTGTTTCGTTGTCAAATTTTCACCTCGTAATTGATTTTATTGCTGCTTCAATTGCCTCTAAATCATTATCTGGAATTGACAAGAAGAAGTAAAATAATGAAAGAATTATGTGGGTTAAAAATATTTTTTTTGAGTAGTTCCGAAAACAGAAATTCGATGAGCTAATAAAATTGACTACGCTTATTTATTACTGATTGAGAAAATATTTTCAGAAGTGGACATAAAGAAAGTAAAAATCACGATTGGAAGTAAAGTAAGAAGAGGCAATGTTAAGATATAAAGAAGTCATTTCAGTTACGAAAGAACAGTTACAGTTCTTTTTGTTCCACGCAATATTGACTATCAGAATCAACACTCGATGATGCGTCGTCTCATAACTTCACGCACCAGATTCATCATTTACAACGTCGCCAATGATTTTTCACTCAATTTACCGCTGCATTTAATTCTGTTGTTCCTGAATGCTGTTAAATTGGTTCAGATTGGAAGCAGTTAATGCCGACTTTTTGATTTTACAAATAACATTTGATTTGACGAGAATTTTCAAGCCACGATTGTCGTGCAAGTTCTTTTTTTTTAGCATCGTTGCTCATTGCCGCCCTCTTCAGATGGACAAACTTTCTATGTCATCAAGCATTTGAAGTCTCGTGAGAGTCTTATATTTATGGTCATTATGCTCATGCGATGAAAAGCAAATCGTTTTGCAAATTCAGCATTGAAATGTGACGAGCAGTAAAAGCAAGAAAGCATTGCCGAAACAAGCAACACTTGAGAGTAAATAGAAGAAAGTTTAAAAGGCAATCGACAAATTTTTTTGCTTTTCTTTTCTCCTTTATCGGCCAATTTTGACACATTCGACCCAGTTTACTTCCAAACTGGAAGAAATCTGAAGAAATCATTGAAAATTCAGACGATGGACTAAACTGATAAGAGCATAAAGTAATTATGGTGATGACATTTTGAAATATATTCAATAAATGATATTCAGGTTCGTGATTGGAATAAGAATTGAACTGACAATAAGCATGAAGAGTTCTTCATGTCAAATATTTGGCAAAGAAATGAAATTTTGGCATTTATTGATGTTTCTGATATTTTGAAAGGTTTGGCTGATTTCTGACATTTCACCAACAATGTTAAGTTAACAATTCACAGGCACGTCAACTTCCAAATTGATCCATTAAACTAATTCGAGTAAATTTAGTAAATAATAATGGAATTTCCCTTGAATTAAGTCTGAAAATTGGAGTCATTTGCAGCTCAAAAATCCTTCAAAATGCAAAGGCAAATTTACAGCACAACAAACTTAGTTCATACCCATGCAAAATAGAGCATAATGTGCTAACAATTTGTCGACTTTTGACTCATTAGCAGAAAATGTTTAGATTCTAAAAACTCTTTCTTATTTCCTTTTATTTGATTCTTCCACGCCCAAATGTAATAACAGCAACAATAGTAACAATATGCCTTAAATGAAAATAAGTAAACAGCTGAACAGCATGGAAATAATCAGTCCGATTTCATGAATAACGTGTGGCTTACTCGGAAAGTCTTGTAAATGTTGATAATCGATCTCAGGCACGAGTCATACTTTGCGGTTTTCTTTGAATGGACCAATTAATTGAATTAAGAAGTTTGCTGATCTTCTTGGAAAATGTTGGAGGAACTTACTAGTGTAGCAGTAATTGAAAGTCGAAGATATTCGCGAATTCGCAAAGAAAGCAAGCAACAGAAACAGACAAAAAGTTTAATTTAATTCAATTTTCTTTGTTGTTGAACAACGTTAAGGCACAAACACAAAACGAATCACAAAGCAAGCGACAAAAAGCGAGCAGCAACAACAAAAACAACAATGTGTCAACGTTCATGTAAAAAAGATTTGTTAGATTAAAAAGTAAGCGAAAACAGAAGAAAAAGCAACAAGTACGATAAATGGCAAGATTATATGTGCTGTATATGCTGTGCGCCCAACCTTTATAGCAATGACTTTATACTGTTTTCCTGATCTGTTCGTAAAACTTTGTGGTTTTAATTTTTTGAGTGTTTTAATAATTTCTGCTATGAAATTGAGGGGTTTATTCAAAAAACCAGTCCTTAGCTACAATCTTAGCATCCACAACTTCTAGTAAAAATTATTAAAGCATTTTTTTCTTCCATATCCATTTTATATATTTCACTTAATAGGTTTAAATGTCTAAAACAGTAGTGATCGCGTAGTAAATTGCTTGTTCTGCCTCACATGATGTTGATGATAAATTCTCAGGAAATGGAAGAAAGAAAAGCTTTTCATAATCATCGCTATTCGGCATTTGTATTCTAGCTCGAAATGTCTCAATTTGTTCTTTGTAGTCAGAAAAAATAAGCAGCAATTGTTTTAGGCTGTTAGGGAAATTTTTGTTGCTACTGATGTTTATGAAATTATGCTCTAATGTCATTTTAATGATGATTTCGTCTACAAAACGTTTTGAATGAAATTTCTTTTATTATTTAAGGTAGGAACTAGATTTTTTGGAAGTTTAGTTTTAAGTCTGCAATCTTTTTGACAATTTGTCTGGTTTTGAAATTTTTGAAGTTAGACTAGCTCGATGGCGTTGGATCTCATATGGGAATTTACATTTTCAACACATTTAAAATCAACAATAAGCTCGAAAAAGTCACAATAAGCATATCCAACTGCGCTCTATTCAACAAGAAAAATGCAACAAAAGCTTTTCAACCAGCTTAATTTATTACCAAAAATTTACGTCTCATTTTAATGATGCCACAACATTAACTACTTTTTAAGTCATTTATGACAAATTAGAGGAAATTTTTACCATTTTTATTGAAGATCCATTTTATGCTTCTTAAACTTCTTTTATGTCTATGAAAAAATATTAAAAAAAAAATCACAAATTACAAATCCAAAACAGACGTAAAACTTCATTTTACGATCATGATTTGAATATCATTTATTTGATGGATTTTTCGTGCTTTCAATTCCAATCAATTTGACAATAAAAATGGTAGAAAAAAAGCATTCCTACATGTATGGACTGTTCCCTTATCTGCTTAATATTCAGATTGTAAAACAGGTGCGCTATCAATAATCTAAAAATATTTCCATGTATAATATATAACTCAATCTCAATTTTATTCGTATCTATCAAATCAAAGCATGTCGCATAAATTTACAAAGTCAGATTGATATCGCTGCTGGATTTTTAATTTTTTGATTAACTTCTGCTGAATCTCATTTTATATTTATGTTCATGTTTATTGTGATTCGGCCATATTTGGTGGATTTATTTGCCAATAATGTCTGTGTGACTTTTTTAAGATTTATCAAATATTTTTTATGACTGTACATGTCGAATAATTCAATTATTTAAGTCGAATTGATGATGATGATTATTGCTAATGTTATTGGATGTGAATATGAGGAAATAAATAATCATTTTTTTTTTTTCAATTTAATGCATGATGAATTTAAAGGCATATCTAAGTGGGTTTAAGCTACTTTTGTCATTAAACATTGACAATTCTCGATGTTCTGATTGATGTTTTTGAGTTAAGCGCTTGATCAATGAAAGATTGAACGGTAAATTGTGGTATATGACTTCTTTATGTTTCGTAGCTTTATATTTTGATCCAATTTATTCAAATTTTATAAGATAAATTCAGCAAGACATAACAATCAAACTGGTTTTTTGCAAATTTATTCCACTGAAGATTGAGACTCAAAAATCAAAAATAAGATTTTATCATTAAATTTGCATGCTTATTGATTCCTTATGTCTATCAAATCTCATTGAAAACATAAAATATTGAAGAAATTTCAATTCATTTAAATTCATCTAAATTAAAACTCTCTCTTCTAATCTCCACAGCAATTCCCGTAAAGTGCTGATAAACAAATTTGTCACAATTTAGATAACACCTCGAAAATTGGCACAAATGTCACATAATTTATAAATAAATCCAATTATTATTCCGATTAAATAAGAATTAAAAACATGAAGCAAATGAAGGAGAAACAGGCAGTGTTGTTGATTTGGTAGATGCTTAAATATGAGTAAGTTCTCTAACAGCCACAAAAGTCTGAGTTATCAACACTGAAACCTGAAATGCTCAGCGAAAATTAATTAATTAAATCTTTTTTCACTCTATCTCCGATTTCTTTCAATTTACAAGATTAAAAATGCGACTTTAAGAAAGAAAATCAAGAAATGAAGGCACAAAAAAATTACGAAAATATCTCGCGAGCATTTGATTAAAAAAAAATATATTCATCGATATTCAAGAGATTTACATTAATTATGTTCGCTCTTCACATCATCGTCTGTTGACCATTCCATTCGGCTAATTAGAAACGAAAGAAGAGAGCCTTTTAATGAGCCATCAACAAAGATTATGATTCCAATGGAGAATGTAAATAATATTTTTAATGACAATTGAGACTGAAGAACTTTTAAGCCTTTCTAAAAAAATATGTTTATAAAATTTGATCTTCGTGAAGATGTGGTATCGAGATGTTAAGTCACGATCATAAGCTACCAGAATTATTAACGTCGACTTTCATTATTTCATTTTAAAATGAAGAGGAATTCCCACAAATTAATCAATTCATATGAAAATGACCTGCTGCATGACTTTAAGTGCAATTTTGTGAAAGAAAATGAGATATTGTTGCTTAATGACTGACAGGATGGGAAACGAAAGGGGATTGAGTCATCGTGAGTCGTCGTTCGAAAGGAAACCACGACTTTTTGGAGCTTTTTACATATGATATACATCTAAAATGATTTATTGGACTTTTTGGTTACAAAAATAAATGCAAAAAAGATCAAAATCTCTTGAAAGTAATTAGCAATTTAACTTTAAGGGGTTGTTCACTTATGACGTCTATCAAAAAACCTGATTTTTTGATCCGACTCCCCCCCCCCCCCCCTTCCCTCTGTCATAAAAATTCTAAAGAAAAAAATTTCCATTGTTTGAACTGTCACAAAATCCTAGAACCCCTCCCCCCTGAATGTCAGAAGCCATAAATGAACGGCCCCTAATCTGATTTTATGAGCTGCATTCACCCA